CCTAAGATTGCACGAGGTCCAATCCCAGGTCAAAAGGATTAAGTTCCTTGACCTAAAAAGTAGGATCAACGCTCGCACTGTCCATTGAAACAGGTGTCATAGTGTCCCTTCAGGACGTTGACTCTCATTCTGGGACTTTAAAAGAGTGCGAACGACTCACAGCTGTACGCTTCCGTGCGTATACCTGTGAGATTGAGTCAACCGTCCTTCCGTACCCTCTCCATCTTCCTCTCTCGCCAATACTCAGGGTTGGACGTAACACATTTTATTTTTTTAAATTTTCAACTTAATTCACCTAATATGTTAAATATATCCCTTACCTTTAAGGGGTAGTTTTCACCCTTCAGAGTGGACCACTGCAGATAAAAGAAAATACGTGTCAAATATTTTTCAAAGTTCTACAAATATGCAAAGTTTCATTAAAATCGGTGAGTGACACCTCCGTAGGTTTACTTGTTAGTGAGTAGTAGGCCTTGGGCACTATTCTGTAACTGTTTTACACGCCTACCGACAATTGTCGATGTCGTTGTGCGGATATTTTATGATGAAAAAGCTGCGCAACAACGCCGACAACTGTAGGCATATAAAACAGTTACAGAATAGTGCCTCTGTTCTTTTTTACTGCACTGTCTGAACTGGTGCAGACAGCGCAGGAAAAAAGAACAGACCTATTGTTTCAAAAGTGTGCTCGTAAATCGACCATAGAATATAAGCATTATTGTAGAAAGGTTGTTACATTTGAGTGGATATTAATTGGACCTAGAGCTGTGCGCCATCGCGTCACGCCGCCGCCGGTGGAACTAGATACGCCGCTGCCGCCGAATATTTTGATAGTCATGTCGCGGCATGGATTCGCGCGCGAACAATCGAACAATGCGGACCTTCTTTGTGCCTGCTTTGTATTGTCTCCTGTGCTGTGCTTCCCTGGCCTTGGTTCGCCTTCCCAGCGTTCCGGGACTGTCCTGAGAGAGCTCTCTCTCTCTCCTCTTATTGTGAATACCCTCAGATCTGCCTGTTTTTCGTAATTACGATAATATTCGGTGTACCGGCTCCGCAATGCAGGCCGCCCCCCCCCCCCCCCCGCCCCGCCGGATCTCGGCGGTGATTCGAGCGCGGTCAACAAGCGTCTTTCAGCCTCTCTTGAAAATTTCAACTCGTTTTTTAGACGAGTACGAAGTGACAATGATAGTGATCTCAAGTTTGTTGCTGGTACTAAGGTTATGCCACCTCCGTCGGCTTATTATAGGAAACCATCACCCTCGTTAATTACATCATCTACTGCGCATAACGTGAAATCCGGTAAATACAACAAGAAAAGAGCGAGGAAGGGAAGGGTCTTGCGGCCTTCTGGTGATCGCGCTCTCCCTCCCTCTAATTCTTTGCCCTTGCCAACCCGTTCTCGCTCTCGATCGCGATCTCCTGCCAAGAACTACTCATCGCAGAACTTGAACATCTCCTCGTTGCACGATGCGGAGGATAATAACAATATAGACATCGACGACGGTGACGGTATGGAAGCCTTAGAGGATTCGCATCCTTCTCTTACGCATAAGAGCTCTTCTTCCCCTTCGGCGGGCGTACCTCTTTCCGAGGTCGGGCTCTCGACGGGGGCAACTTCATTGGAGGGGTCCTTCCTCCGGGAAACGTCCTCGCGAAAATATGTCGACCGCGGAGGAGCCCCCTGCGAAGGTCGCGCCGAATTCCCCGCATACGCGGGGCGGCGCTGCAAGTAGCCTCAACTTAACCTATGACGAGGGAGATATTTCCCCTTTCATTATTTTTGTCAAACGTATCGCGGACAGCAATGGCGGGGACTCTCACCTCGATTCGGTGTCTGTGGCGCGTGTTATGACTCGCATAACCAACGATAAAATTACGGAGGTCATATCCTCGGGCCGTAATAAAGTTGCCGTCCATTTCAACGACCGTGCAATTGCAAATAAAGTTCTTTTGCACTCATTAATTAAAGAGAGCGGTCTCTCAGCATCTATTCCCGCCTTCCGTGTTTTACGCACCGGCGTGATCAAAAATGTCCCGCTGGACATTTCAGAAAACGATATTATCAACCATTTCACTTCTCCATACAAAATCGTTTCGGCTAAGCGTTTGAACGTCAGGATACACAAGGACGGTGAATCAACCTTCGCGCCGTCGCGCACGATCTTGATAAAATTTCGAGGGCAACTTGCCACGATCGGTTACCTATTTACATGTCAGTTTTCCGGTCTTGCCGTACTTTCTGCGAGTACTCATGTGTTTCTCGTGTCTAAGATATGGGCATGTCAGCACGGATTGCAAGAGTAAGCCCCGCTGCGCGCGCTGCGGCTCCCAGAAACATCCTAAAGCAGAGGATTGCCCTCGCCTACACTTACCTCCAAGTTGCTGCAACTGCGAAGGGGAACACCTGCCCTCTTCCTCGGGATGCCCTACATACGTGCGTCACAAACAAATTTATGCCTATGCCACCATTGAAAATCTCTCTTACTCGGATACGCGCCAAAAATTTGGAACATCTTCCCCAATTATTTCTTCCCCCCCTCCCAATTTCTTCCATCACATTGACTTTCCCCCGCTCTCAAAATCTCCTCACTCTCCTCACCCCTCGCGTTCAACCCCTAACTATGATGACCTTTTGGCATCGGACGCTGTC